TGTGCTTTTGCATAATTTCTCGGCGAAAGAGTAACTAATTACGCTAATTACATCGTTCACACAACTGAGCATTGTTTAAAGGTAATGTTCAGTCGTCTGTTCAGTATTTTGTTTCATTAAGTGACTTGAAACAGCTATAATAAAATGGTGCTAACTTATTAATGCCATTGAACAAGCCATGTCATTAATTAGGCCTGTAGCAGAAAGCTTAAAAACACTTACATCTGAGCACGTGTGCGCATAATTGAACATTCAGTCAATACGGATTCTTTCAATCGTTACGCCGGAATTCGTGTAAATTGAATTTTTTCTTGTTTCTCGTGCTGCCAATTATGGAATCAGAAGGTGCATCACCTTGAAATCATCGGTATGAGCATTAGAAACTATTGACTGAATATAGTTAATAGTTGTTTTTCCATATTATGGAGGCAATCATTTCTGAGGAACCTAAGCAGGATCAGGTTATGCATCAGTACCAAGATATAATCGATCGCCATCAAAGGTGCATATTCAGTTAATGGGAATATTCAAAATGTTACAAACTCATTTCTCCATCGAATCACTACGGCTGAGAAAAAATGGATTTTTTACCATTCTGGACAACCGCTGAGGGCGTCCTCAAATAAGGAGGAAGAGGTGGATATTTGCCATGCATTTCAACATGACACAGAATTCATTTATCTTTAGACCTCGTTACTTCGGGTCAGAACGGATTCCGGATCTTCTTCACGAGACTTTTCCAATGACAGTGTCAATCTGCTGCCAAGGTTTTCAAGGTCGACAATGCCAGAACTTGTACATGAACGAGCTTCTGGTCTTCGGTGCACGCCTGAGACGTCTTGCTATGGTTTTGCCAAGAGTTGGTTCTAGAGAGTCTCATAGGTCAGATTAACACACTTGACTCCAGATCTGTTCGTTTCCACAAACAGATCGATGTGACATCCTCGTTACGTGCTTTCCTCAAAATTGGCAACACTTCGAAGTGTACTCTTAAACAGTTCTACCTCACTTCAGCTGTTAAATGAAAATTTGCTTGGTGAAGTAACAATTAAGAGATGCAGAAGTTTTTTTGCACCGTATCATATTCGGCAGAAATTTATCTTGTTTTTATCAAAGTTCAAAAAATAGATCTCTTTATCAATTACGCACTAAATATATGAATGGCTGTGAGTAAAATGAGTAAATTCAATCAATAGACTTTGAACAAGACAGCTTAGACGAATGACTGCGCAATGGAAATAATGTCAAAGAACCAAAATTGTTTCTGAGTTCAGATTATCAGCTCGAATCCAAAAATATGCGGCTCAGCCAGTGACTCAACCAGTGACATAGCAGTCTGAACATCAAATAAGGAAATTCGAACCCCCTCCCATGAACGTTGACTATTGGCGTCGAAGAATTGAATTAGTCTAATACATATACCGCTCTGGCATCAATCATCTTCTTGTCAGATTGAGCGGGTAACAGTGAACTAAGAAAAACGTAGATCTGTATAGCCATTTGAACTGCCATCATCCCAGTCGTCTGACAATCGCGGCTTAGCAGAATACCTGTACATTCGGGTTCTCAGTCATGTTATGCTTCGTGATCAGATATGTTTCAAAGATTACAGAAACTCGGCAGCCATTAGCTACCAGTGCTTCGTTTTGTATGGCCGTACAGAACCCATGGCAGGTCTGTATGCCTGCCATGCTCTAAACTGTAACTTCTCGTAAAGTTAAGTTGTATATGTTTGTCGTCGACCCCTCTCAGTGTGGTCGCGAGGCGAGACTCACGAAGGAAACAATGCTCCTTGCTGATCAAGTACGAACACCTCACGCTGAAAAGTCAGTAGATACAAAAGTAGCCTAGCGGAGCTTTTTCACTGTTGTTCGCATGCAGCTAACAATGAACGCTAATAAATCCAAAACAAAGAACTACTAGAGCGTAGAAGATTTCTGACCGGCGGATAAACAGAGCTAACAACAGAACTGGCCAAATCTGGTCGAAAGCGAAATCTCGAAAACGACGTCGTTTGAGGAGATCCTTTTCTGCGTACAGGATTTTGTGTTGTCCGAGCCGATTTTGTGTTCGACTGCCATCGGCAGGCGTATCGACTGTTGCTCTATTTGAATGTGATCGATTGCCTTTTAGTTTTCCGACCGGATCAAATTGAGCCGCCTCAGCCATTGCTGTCAAAGTTCAAGTCTTGTTCGTCGACGAGCAGTCGGCGTCACGGCTATCCGAAAAGCACCGGTGGCTGTTTCGCATTACAGGACCAGTGTAATTCGGAATCGGCGGTCAACAGCAAGTCCCAGGCCCCGGCGCAGGACCGAAAACCGCCGTTCGAAACGACTGCCAGCCAGAAGCAGTTGTCGTCGATGGCCGCCCAAGGCATGACTCCGTTTGCGGCCGTCAACGAGGCGGCTAAAGTGAGGACGGCGAAAGAGGACCTCCCCTCATGTTCGTCGTCAGCGGTGAGGGAGAACGCGTCGACGTCGCCGAACCAACAGGAGCCACCTGCCGACTGCCAGCCAGCTCAGCTTTCAGGCTCACACACCGGGGACGTTCGCTATGACATCTCGAAAATGCGCATCGACGCGCGAATCAAGGAGTCCGGCAACGTCTTGCGGCCACAACAGAATGACTGCCACGCATTGCACAACGGAATACCGGAAGTGTCGACCGTTTCTAGAAACGCTAGCCCAGCGGGAAACATCATCGAGCTTAGGAAGTGTCTGGTACGAGCTTTCGGATTTTTCACCTCAAAATTCATAGAAGAACTTTGACTCAGTCTAGACTAGAAATTCTTTAGAGTCATAAACTCAGATATGCAAGAAGTTAATAAAATGCTCGATTAGGTTTTAAGCATAACTGGATTTCTTCAGCGGGTCAGAGCAGAAATGCTTTTTTTATCATTCCACTAATATAAGTTGTATTTAAGCTTATGTTGATTGATGAGGTGATGCGATCTATTCAATTCAAAAAAAGCATAAA